TCAGAGTCCCTAACCTCACCTGAGCTGTTTATCTCTCGCAGTCTGACAGCAGAGGACTCTCCTTCCACCTTGTTGTTGAAACCGCGCTCTCTCTCTCTCTCTCTCTCTCTCTCTCTCTCTCTCTCTCTCTCTCTCTCTCTCGCCATACATACACACACCCTCCCAAGCTTGAATCACACACAGAGACCAATCGGTCCTCCCGATGGCCTGCCTATTACATACAGTGGCAATGTCTCAAGATTTAGGAAAATACACCTTTTTGAACATACAGTAACACAAATCCACATAACAAACAATTAAAAAATCAAAAAGGGTCGGCACTTATTATTATTTAGCAGCGGCGCAGCAGGGGAAACACTGGACAACATTGTCATTGTTAGAATGTTAGCATTTCAATGTTAGCATTTAGCTTAAAGCACGGTACAACCCAGCATGGTGCTTTGATTGTCATCCAAAAACAGTATCCCTAATCTTGTGAGTTTTCCTCCGAGCTGTATGTCATTAAGTGTACACGTTGTTGTCCCAGGTGAGTTGCTGTCTCCGGGCTCTCTGGATGGCATGGATGATGGTGCATGCGGCGAAGAGGCCGGGGCCTCTTCCTCCTCAGCGGGGGCGGATTCGGACGACTGCCTCCCCCAGCTGGCCCCCATCCCCCTGGTAGAGAGCATTGATGAGGCCCTGGTGCCTGATATCATTGCAGGTACTACGGGAGCATCCTCAATATTCCAAAGTGAGTGGGTAGCCCCGTCCAGACTACACACACACACACACACACACACACACACACACACACACACACACACACACACACACACACACACACACACACACACACACACACATGTTTGTGTCATCACAATATAAAGTATTTATTCGTTAAATATGTTTTATAATTGCATTTCACCGTTTTTTTTACAGTATCGTTCAATGTGTTTTAATGATTGTAGTGCTGTCTTTTGGAATGGGAGTCAAACATGTAGGCCAATTTGTCATTACAGTTATTATGACTTCAGTGTTATTTCAGAGGAGTAGAGGAGATGATGGCTCGATCGGCAAACAGTTTTTCTTGCCTGTTTGTTTTCCTAGTGTGCTTGCTTGGCAATATTAAGGCTGTTTTTATTATCCAAAGGTGCTCCACCTCTGTCCTCTTTGGAAAAAGATAAAGACATAGACTTTGACTTGCTACAAGACCTGATGGATGTTGATATTGATCCTTTAGATATTGATTTGGAAAAAGATCCACTCGCGGCCAAGGTGTTTAAGGTATGTGTGACTTCCTATTCTTCTCTTTTTTTCTCTCGCAGTTTTGCAACACGTTAAGAATGAAGTTGTTAATGATCAGAATGTATCAGGGAAAAAAGATAAATGCATAATTAGACCAGAAATGACCCTAGATTTAGAGTTAATTGTGAATAGTTCAACTTAAGTTGGGTTAACTTTTTAGAAGATTTAGCTTGATATTATGTGATTTTCACAAGTAAATGTGTATTATTAGAACAGTTTCAATATCATGAAATGTTCTTTGAAATACATTAGTGTTAAAAGGTGCAACGAATCGGAATGAAAGGTGTTCTGTCAGGTTTTTGTCAGGACATTTGTTATCAGCCTAAATGGTTTTATACATTTGTTAACTAAAAGATTGAAACATTTGACAGTGGTGAGTTCTACATTTGACTATTTATCAGACAAAAATCAAAGATTAAACATTTGAGTATGATTGATGATGGCCCCTAATGTTGCTGTCCAAATTCAACTACTTGAATGACCAGTTTGTTAGTTAAGTAAACTGAAGGATCAGTGAATATAAACGTTGTGAGGGTGTTCTTGAAAAGATAAAGGAAAGGGATTTATTTGTTTTCAAGCTGCACATTTAGAATGAATTGAACCAAGTGTAGCGTAACACATTTTTCTTTCAGTAACTAAACTTGCATTTTGTGATTTTAATGTTAATGTAGAAGTTGACTTTTTTTATTTTGCCCTCGTCCTCACATCTGTCCTCAGCCTATAAGCAGCACCTGGTATGACTACTGGGGCGCTGACTATGGCACGTACGGGTACAACCCGTACATCGGGGGTGTTGGTATCCCAGTGTCCAAGCCTCCAGTCGCTGTTGAGAAGCCGGGGTCACAGAGTCTGTCAGTGTCCGTGTCGCAGGGTGAGTAGAGGCTCGTTTCGGCACTAGTCTTGTCCTCTCTAAATCCATTTTGTGATGTGTTTGACCTTTGGCCCCTGTGTCACAGCACTGGATGCCCGGCTAGAGGTGGGCCTAGAGCAGCAGGCTGAACTGATGCTCAAAATGATGGCAACCCTACAGGCCGACTCTATTCTACAGGCCCTCTCCTCCAGCTCCTCCACAGGTAACCTCACAACATCACAAACAGAAGCCCATTTTATTTAAATAACAATTGCTGTTCAATAGTTGACCATAAGTGCTCAACAACCCACAAAAGTGTTCTTTAGCAGTCTGTGTATCGCTGCTGTAAGATTAACTTGTGCGTGTGTTCTTCCAGTGTGCCAGGCCTCCAATGGGACTGATGACTCCCTGCTGAGGGCCCTGCATGGGGGGGGGTCTCCTCCAGCCAGCTGCCTGATGATCCAGCCCTCGTCCATCCCCATGTTGAGCGGCTGCTTCAACAAGCTCTTCTCCATGCTGCAGGTCCACCATGTACAGGTCAGCACTAGGGATGGGTACCAAGCCCCGGTATTAAAGGGGCCACGGGGCTGAATTATTAAAGACCGTGGTACCGTTAAGCTCCGACGTTATCGGTGTTTTTATCGGTACTGGAGACATTTCAAAAATATGTCGTATGTATTATTGCTACACAAACATTATATTGCAGTTTTAGTGTCACCAACTCCGTTTCTAATATGCAAAATGCGTCGATGATGTATTTTGATCTTTCCAATCCAGACGAGAGATCTCTCCCCCCCCCCAGTCTGTGTGTGACAGGGCGGGGCAGTTTACACACAAGCGGCTGCTACATGCATCACACACACACACACACACACACACACACACACACACACACACACACACACACACACACACACACACACACTCTGCTACATGCATGCAAAACAGACACACACTCTGCTACATGCATGCAAAACAGACACACACTCGGCAGAGAGAACTAAGCGCTAAGGTGTGGTTAAACTTTACCCGTCTCGATGTGGACAATGCTCGTTGCCAAAAGCGCCATAAGAGTTTAGCTTGTGTAAGGGCGGTAACACGAGCAGTTTGTCTAAACATCTTGCAAAAGTGCACCACATTCAGACGGAGAAATGCACCGACTGTCTTTCTAGTAGCTCTGTAGCCCCATCTACGAGTAACGTTTCAGGTATCCTTAATCTTCCTCCAGAAGAACTGTTAGGCCTTTTGCAGCATGTATTTATGCAATAAATACTTTTTATTTTTTTAAATTTTTTTTACAGTTCTATAAGTTCACATTATTTACAATTTGTGTACCGTAATTAATTGACCTTTTTTTATTTTTCAAAATAACCGATAAGAGTACCGTTAAATGACCGGATCGATAAGCGGCATCGATAAAAGTAGTAGTACCGTTAAAACTTTAACGATACCCATCCCTAGTCAGCACACACAACAACAGATGGGAAACAGATTCCCTGACTGATATCAGTCTTCAGTGTGGAAACCTTTAGTCGACATGGTTAGGTATTTCTCATTTTATTTTTAATCAGTTCTATGGGGACTCGGCAATTCCAGAACTTTAACTCCAGAGCTATGCCGTGTAGTTTTGGCTTTGTATCCTGTTGCTGTCTTACGACAAAGGCTTTGTGTCCCAAGTAACGTCTGTCGTGCAGACGGCAGCAGGTCCAGGTAAAAACAGAACTAGCTTTAGTATCTGATAATCTGGGTTTGAAGCAGAAGTTAACGAGGCGCCAGTTGGCATCTAACGTATAGACCGGTGCAATAACACTGTTTTTTCATGTAAAGTATTCAGCTTTTTAGCTCAATGTCGTGATGAGGTTTTACTGAAAATCAGTAAAACCTCATCACGCTGTGCTGTCCTCCGCTCCCCAACAACCATCCTCAGTTTTGGAAGAATATGAAAATTCACAAGCTTCACTCAATTTTGATGAAGATAACATTTATTGCACAGTCGGTCTAAAAACACTGGATATGTTTCCTGGATGAAATTAACGTATGTGATTAGTTTCATTTTTGTACTAAATTATGTATATCATCATGCAAAAAAACCATCACCAGTGTGGATCATTAAAGTGATACATACATGTTAGTTTCCCCAAATTCTGGGTCATTTTTGAAATAAATAAGTAATTTCTTTCTTCTCTCTCAGCTGGAGTCCCTGCTGCAGCTGTGGTTAACACTCAGTCTCAACACATGTTCTAATTGCACTGAAGAGAGCGGATCAGACATCTTCATGTTCAACGCCAGCCGAGTGCCCACCATCCCACTCAACCAGGGTCAGGACTCCTTCTAAACCCCTCAGAGGGAATTAAGTCCCTTTTTACATTCGCTATTTTTGTTTTATTCTTATTTTATAAATGTTTTTTGTGCGTTTTCAGCATCCATTAGCAGTTTCCTGACAGTGCTGGCGTGGTACCCCAACACCTCCCTGAGAACGTGGTGTCTGGTGCTGCACTCTCTCACCCTGATGACTAACATGCCAGCCTGCGGTCAGTACTCCACTCTCACTGAATCTTCTCAGAGCTCAGATAGTCACACTTTCATTCTTTCTCTCAAAGAGTGATGCATATTGAATTATGCTACACCAAAAGCAAAGGTCTCCTAAAGCAAGACACATTTATCTAAGTAAATATTATTATCATTATGCCCCAAGTTTGTGTCATTCTTTTTCAAACAGCTGGCTGTTCTTTTGGGTGTTTCCTTTTTTTAAATGTTCCTACAACAGTTTTTGACATTCACATTTTGAATGTAATAGCATCCTTGAATTTCATCAGGGTCATTGGATGATGCCCTAAACAAACTCAAAAAGGACCACAATGTTTATTCCTTAATAAAATCATTCGAAATCAACAGCTGTTTGAGTGCTAAGAACTGAATTTACCTGTGAAACATGCTCAGCAGTACACAACTTCTTTCACTTACAATTTGAATTATTATTAACAGTATTGTCAGTGGTCTGGTGTTAAATAAGTTCTGTTTGGACTTCCAGGCTCCAGCAGTGGGATGAGCTCTCAGGAAAGCACCGCCCAGCAGATGGTGTCTGACCCCACCCTGGTTCATGTCCTTGTGCGCTTCCTGTCTGGCAGCAGCACCAACGGGACGAGCCAGCACAGCTCTCAGGTGGGACCCACCGCCACCCAGGCCATGCACGAGTTCCTGAGCCGCCTGCAGGTCCACCTGTCCTCCACCAGCCCGCAGATGTTCAGCGAGTTCCTGCTCAAACTCATGCACATCCTGTCTACAGAGAGGTATGCTTTCCCTAACAATAATGATTGCAATTATTGAATGTTACAGCACAGTCAGTTTCAGCACATGCTTTATGAATGGTCTTGGTGAACTAATGGCTCCTCCCGACCCTGCAGGGGTCCGTTCCAGTCCGGCCAGGGTCCACTGGACGCCCAGGTGAAGCTGCTGGAGTTTACTCTCGAACAAAACTTTGAGGTGGTGTCAGTGGCTACGATCTCCTCCGTCATTGAGTCCATCACATTCCTGGTCCACCACTACATCACCTGCGCAGACAAACTGGTGTCCCGCAGCGGCTCCGACAGCTCTGTCGGGGCTCGGGCTTGTTTTGGTGGTTTGTTTGCCAACATCATCCGGCCAGGAGACGCCAAGGCTGTGTGCGGAGAGACGACACGAGACCAGCTGATGTTCGACCTCCTCAAGCTGGTCAACGTGCTGGTGCAGCTGCCTCTGTCCGGGGACAGAGAGTTCAGTGGACGACTGCCGCCGGCCGGCAGCGAGGCGGCTGACAGCAGCGTGTCGGACGAGGAGAAGGTCTGTGGCAGCAAAGAGAGCGTGGCTGGTGGCTCAGCGTTCAGCCAGGGGCCCCCTGCAGGGGTGGCCGACCTGGTGCTAGCCAATCAGCAGATCATGAGCCAGATCCTGTCCGCACTGGGCCAGTGCAACAGCAGCGCCATGGCCATGATCATAGGTAAGACCCATTACAGGCACTTCCTGTGCTCTACCAACAGTGTCAGTATCTTTCACCTTGTTATTTTTATTTTACTCCTCACTTTTTTTCGTTTACAGCTTTTAGCAGCCTAAGCCAGATTTTTTAAATCTGAGTTGGTAGAGAGTGAATATTAGATTTGCATCAGGTGGACTTGACTAAAATATGACTATTTCCAAAAAAAGAAATTGCTGCAAAAATTGAAATGTGCCTCAAATTGAATGAGGAGAAAGTATTTAGCCTATTCAACATTTGCCAAACATTTATGGGATACTGATAAATAGTCAACAAACTGACTCAGCAATGCCAGTCATACATAAGTTCTTGTGAAGTAAAACATTTACCACGATATATAAGCTACTGGTCAGAGCAGAGTTGTAGCGTTTATTGAATTAAACAGTACTGTGTTTAATTGCTTTGGAATTCAACTAAATCATTTGTTATTGATAATAACATTTCACTTGTGGGTGAATTGTTCCCTTAACCAACCAGAGGACAAGAGAAAAACGTGTATATCAGGAGGGTATTTATATATCTACTGCTACTACAAGCTGAAACTTTCTGTCTCTGTTCCTCAGGAGCCAGCGGCCTCCACCTGACCAAACATGAGAACTTTCATGGTGGCCTGGACGCTATCTCTGTAGGTGACGGCCTCTTCACCATCCTCACCACCCTCAGCAAGAGGGCCACCTCAGTGCAGGTCATGTTGCAGCCCATCCTCACTTACATGGCCTGTGGATACATGGGCAGACAGGTGAGCAGCAGCCTGTTTGGACTCTGATTACTTGATATTAAAACACGTCTTGGAAACCAATGCCAACGTTTTGTTTTCTACATTTTGTAGGGGTCTCTCTCCACCTGTCAGCTGTCGGAACCTCTCTTGTGGTTCATCCTCCGAGTGTTGGATACCAGCGAGGCTCTCAAGGCCTTCCATGACATGGGTTTGTACACACCACTTCTAAACCAGCCTTTTACTCAAAGTTTGGAAAAACCGATTGAACATGAAGTGTTACTTTCTTGTGTTGTATCAGGTGGTGTGCAGTTGATCTGTAACAACATGGTGACCAGCACCCGGGCCATTGTGAACACAGCACGCAGCATGGTGTCCACCATCATGAAGTTCTTAGACTCAGGTCCTGGGAAGTCAGCGGACGGCAACCTCAAAGCCAGAGTGATGACATCAGAGCCGGACAACGCTGAGGGACTCCACAACTTTGCTCCCTTGGGTGCTTTTACATCCTCCTCAATCTATTCCATTCAGTGGGACAGTATTTTACAGTAAAATACCCTAAAACCTTGCCAACATTTTTCTAATTTTCTATGATCCCTTTGTCCCTGCCCAGGCACCATCACATCCAGCAGCCCCACAGCGCAGCCAGCAGAGGTCCTCCTCCAAGCCACGCCCCCCCACCGACGAGCCCGCTCGGCAGCCTGGTCCTACATCTTCCTGCCGGAGGAGGCTTGGTGTGACCTCACCATCCACCTTCCTGCTGCTGTGCTGCTGAAAGAGCTCCACATCCAGCCACACCTTGCTTCTCTGGCCAGTGAGTAGCACCCAGTTTAACAGTGACAGTACATTTGAAAAAAAGTAATGTGGAATTTTTGGGAACATTTGTTTTAATCACTATTTTTGCAACCATCATTCACTTTTCCATCTCACTTAAATTCTAACTCAAATGTCATGTTCTGCTGTGTTCCCTTCAACCAGCCTGCCCGTCATCCGTCTCCGTGGAGATCAGTGCTGATGGGGTCAACATGTTGCCGCTTTCCACGCCAGTGATCACCAGCGGCCTGACCTACATAAAGATCCAGCTGGTGAAGGCGGAGGTTGCGTCGGCGGTTTGCCTGAGGCTGCACCGGCCTCGTGATGCCAGCACGCTGGGCCTGTCTCAGATCAAACTGCTGGGCCTGACGGCGTTTGGCAACACCTCCTCTGCAACCGTCAACAACCCCTTCCTTCCTTCTGAGGACCAGGTGTCTAAAACCAGGTACCAAAAACTGATTCTGGACTGAGAGTAGATCCATGTGTATTAGATGTCGGTGTTGTAACCTTTATTTTTTTTTCCTACAGCATCGGGTGGCTGCGTCTTCTCCACCACTGCCTGACCCACGTCAGTGACCTGGAGGCCATGATGGCCAGTGCTGCAGCTCCCACCGCCAACCTGCTGCAGACCTGTGCCGCGCTGCTCATGTCGCCTTACTGCGGCATGCACTCTCCCAACATCGAGGCTGTGCTGGTCAAGATCGGCCTGCAGTCCACACGCATTGGACTGAAGCTCATCGACATCATGCTGAGGAACTGTGCCGCTTCCGGCACCGACCATGCCAGTGAGTCCCACACAGCTGCAACAGCTTTAACTATAGGACGCAGAACCACAGGGAAGAGCCTCCAAAACTCAAAGTTCAAATACTGAAACTCATTCCATTTCATTTGTTTTTATTTTATTTTAAAAGGCTTTGGCATATTTTAGATTGCCTCACCAGGTGTTAAAAGTGTGTTGTTCTGCAAGGTCTCCATTGAATTTGAATATTTGGTCATGCTTTTTAATATCTCATTCATTTCTCAAAATTATGTAAGAGACTCAATTGGTGTGTTTTTGGTGCACAAATGTGAGTCCCTAACCAATCACTGTCCACACTTTAATTATTTTGTAGCTACTTGCAACAAATGACATACAAAAATACATTTTTTATAGCCACAGCTAACCAAACCTGAACCTAGGTCCCACAAAAGCTTCAGGCTTTGGTCACATTTAATTGTATGCATCATTGTTTCAACTACCCCCCCCAAACAAACCTGTAAGCACTTCTACTGTGTCAAAGCATCTGCCAAATGAATGTAATGTATGGAGGTGAGTTAGGAAGCTGTACCATGCATATCTACAGGAAAAATGTCCACAAATTATAAAAGACCTACCATAATACTGTGCACATATTTCCTGTTGAAGGTAGCTCACAGGGGTTCAAAACTCATCTTAAAAAACCTAATTATCAGGCGATAACAACCCTTTTTTAAGTCCATGCTTCTATCGTTTCAGATTTAAACAGTCCCCTGCTGTTTGGGCGACTGAATGGCCTCTCGTCAGATTCCACCATTGACATTCTCTACCAGCTGGGCACCACACAGGACTCTGGAACCAAAGACAGGTATATATCCACACCCCAATTTTAACCCAACTGTCCTTTAGACCCCCCCTGTAAGAATAACAACCAATGAGTAACACTTTTTGTCAAGGTGATATTCCAGACAGACTCATGAGGCAATAGTTAAAAGTGTCCTTGCGTCCTTTTTTGTCATCTTTTACTGTCACATGGTTGTGTTGGTTGAATATAAATTCCAAGATGACTCACCTCACACTGAGGGTAGGAGATGAATTGAAGATTTTAAAACCACATTTATCCAATATAACTCTGAATCTCCACCCTTCAGGATCCAGGCTCTTCTGCAGTGGGTCCATGACTCTTCTCGGGTGGCGGCCCACAAGATGAGTAGCCCGATGGGGTACACTGGCGCCGCTGCGGTCCCTTCCTCTTCTTCATCCAGAGAGTATGGTCTCCTCATGCCGTCGCCCTCCCACCTGCACTGTGTGGCTGCCATCCTGTGGCACAGCTACGAGCTGCCGGTTGACTACGACCTGCCTGCACTGCTCAACAGAGAGCTCTTTGAGTCAGTCAACACTCTTTCCCTTATCATCAACACCGCACTTTAGTCTATTTGCCAACTCTTTGAGATCTATTGTGATCCCAGGAAATGTTGAGTACCTCAAAGTAGCATATGTTGCACAATTAGCTTAAGTTGCATTAATTAGCTTTCATAAGCATATGCAAACAATAGCTAAAAAATGGCTTGGACAATTTTGGTGTCGTTTTGGAGGCATAGTTAGGATGTAGAATCCATTTCTAATCTAAAATGGCAGTTTTGGGTCCCCTTAACTTTACATTCGACCAAAAATTCATAAAAATCAGCCCACCAGGAGTATGAATAGCCACTTTCTGGTTGAAATGCCATATATGCTCACGATAACATCATTTGAAAAAGGAGCCACATATTACGCCATTAACTTTATGCAACACATAATCACTGATGTTCCGCTGTAACGGTGGTGGACTCATCAGAACAGAGTGGGCGAGCTGACCAATCAGAGCACAGTGGGCTCATAGGGAGGGGGGGGCAGGAGCTCCAACAAGCCGTTTAGGACAGAGTGAATACACATACTATACAGAGATGCTGTATGAGAAACCAATGTGAGTTTGGAAAATTGAACAATGCAACAATGGAATTATGATCAGTAGAAATGGCCATGGTTTTGGACCTTTAAGGACATTTTACATGTTGTTCTCATGTCAGAAAAAGCATAATTTATGAAAAATACATAGTGCTAATCTTTTTCACGTTTGTCCGAGTAACATATTTTTAACACTTCAAACATTATTCAAATATTATTAATCCTTATAAATAATTAATTTTACTTTCACATAGTATTCATACAGTCTGGTACTTCTACTTTTACTTTTTACAACATCTGAGTACTTCTCCCCCTTCTGATAACCATGGATTAATGACTGATGATTTCCTCTTCCTCCAGGCTGCTGTTTAACTGGTCCATGTCGTTGCCGTGCAACATCGTGCTGAAGAAGGCAGTGGACAGCCTGCTGTGCTCCATGTGTCACATCCACCCCAGCTACTTCTCCCTGCTCATGTCCTGGATGGGGATCGTCCCGGTGCCCAGCGCCAGTCACTCTCAGGCCCAGCGCCACCGCCTCTCCATGACCGACGACGGCAAGAAGCAGCACGACGCCAACACCAGCTCTGCAAGCCTCACCGACGACTCCAAGCATGCAAGACCCCCGGTCAATCTGTCGGAGTCCCAGCTCACCACGCTGGCCGCTGCCTCCCAGTCTCCGGGAGCCATAGAGCAGCTGCTGGACTCGGGCTTACCCTCGCTGCTGGTCCGCAGCCTGGCCCAGTTCTGTGTGGGTCTCCTGGCCAGCGCCGACCTGCCTCTACCCGCTGCTCAGGCCGAAAGACGACACCACCATCACCACTACCACTCATCCTCCTCATCCTCACACAGTCGACCCCCTCTGGCTGCAGAACTGGTCGCTCCAGTGCTGCGTTTCCTGACTGAAGTGGGCAACAGTCACGCCATGAAAGACTGGTTAGGAGGACCTGAGGTGAACCCGCTGTGGACGGCTCTTCTCTTTCTGCTGTGCCACTCCAGTGCCAGTGCCGGTGCCAACGCAGGCTGTCAGCCTCTGGGCTCTGCAGCTGCGGCCGGCCCCTCTGCATCCCACCCCCAGGCCTCAGGCTCACGGTACTCCCTGGCGTCTTCTATGCAGGCAGGAGGGCTGACCACACAGCAGAGGACCGCTCTGGAGAACACCACCGTGGCCTTCTTTCTGCAGTGCATCTCCTGCCACCCCAACAACCAGCGGCTCATGGCTCAGGTCTGCTTGTATATTCCTCTCTGTTAAGACTAATGATTTCACTTTGATTGACTTTTCAATTTCACGCATAGATTAACTGTAAAACCATAGAGCTGACTTTTAATACAAATGATAGTATTAACTATATTTTTAGAACATTCATTTCTTGTTCCTTTGTGGTTTGAATGTAAAACTGTTTTCATTTGGATATATTATTTTGTCTCTGTATTGATTTCAATCATTTTTCCTTTCTTTAGGTTCTCTGTGAGCTCTTCCAGTCTGCACCCCAGCGAGGTAACGTGCCGATCTCTGGAAACATCTCAGGCTTCATTCGAAGGCTTTTCCTGCAGCTCATGCTGGAGGACGAGAAGGTCACAGTCTTCCTACAGTCACCTTGTCCGGTGGGTAACTCACTCTGTTGTTGAAACCTAGAGAAGAATGTCTGCTATATCAGTTCTTTTTACATACAGCCTGAAAATATAATTATAACAATTATAACATTCACACAAAACCATTGTCCCTGTTTTTTTCATCAGTTATACAAAGGACGCATCAATGCCACCAGCCACATGATCCAGCATCCCATGTACGGAGCAGGACACAAGTACCGCACCCTCCATCTGCCCATCTCCACCACGCTGGCTGAGGTCCTGGACCGGGTGTCTGGTATGTTTCAACACACAACACTTACACTATAAATCTGCCAGACAAACAAAACTCAGAACAAGATGAGTGCACTGAGCTGTGGGGATTTGTAAGCCTTGCTGCCAATAAAGAAAATGTGTCACTGCAGGAATAAGTGGTGCGATATAGCATAGCATATAACATATCAAAAGTCATGTCATACCTATCTGTTGTAACAGAAATGCTGTTGCATGCATATTTTATAAGGATATCTGATTGATTGCTGTTAAGTGTGCATGAAACTCATAACCGCATAGATTTTCAAACTAAAAGCTTTCTGTTCAAACCACATAATTCCTCCCTTTACTGGAGGGTTTTTATTTTAATGGAAATATAATATAGTTAAAAGCGTAACATGTCGAGTGTCTATGGAGCTATTTCAGGGTTATAAGTTTTGATCATTCAAAAAAAAAAGAAAATTTATTTGAAAGTTCAAGTTTTTATCCTAAACTTTGAAAAATACAATGATGTATTCAAAATAAAAATAAGTGTTTGAAATCATTTTTCAGGTTGAATATTATTTTTGATTCAGTTCAGCAATTTTTTTGAATAACATATTTATTTTCAGATTTCACTTTTATACATATTTTGATATTTCAATCCTTATTTTTTTCAGTTGCAAATATTTCATTTTCAGATTCAAAACAATTATTTTTTCAGTTTCAAATCTTGTTTTTTCAGGTTTCACATTGCTTTTCACCTTCAGATCGTTTTTCACTTTCAGATCTTTTTTTTTCGCTTTCAAACTTTTAGCCCTGATATTGCTTGGGGGGGCGGGGCTTACCAAAGAGTAGTTTGGCATCCTGAGTGACAGGCCTCCCTCTGTCATGTTGCCTTCATGGATGTTAGAAAACTGAGACCAGCGTCAAAGTTCCGTTAAGCGAGCTGTTGAGCATCGTAGTTGGCAACAATCAAGTACAAATAAACTGTGTTAGAAAATGAAATTACGTATCCGCAACGAGCCAGCAGGTTGTTCTGGTGGACCTGACGCCATCCCCCGCTGTCTCACGGAGAGATACCGCAGGTCCTTTCTTCCTGCAGCGGTCAGACTATACAACCAGCACAGCTGGCCTCGCACAAAACAACACAGACTATAACACCTCTTGTTGATAAATACTGTTGGAGCAAACACCACAGTGGTGGTGGCTTAAAGCCCACCTCTGCTCCGCGCCGTCCGTTAGATGAGCCTGGTCACATTAATTTGAGAAGGAGTTCAAAACACCGGCATAAAAGTTATCACAATAATCTGATTTTAATGGTAAAAAACATACAATATGAAATACAGAGTACTCTGGACTTCCAGTTCTACTGCCGTGCGATACAAGCATCGGGACCAGCCAGTCAGAA